AATCACAATGTTATTAGATAGTAACAATTTAATCACTTGCGCTCAGAAAAGAATTATAACATAATGTCGAAAATAATGTTTAAATGATACACTGATCAAATTAAATTAAATCAAATAGTTCCTTTACTCTTTTGGCGACTTTTTAATTTAATGAAAAATATTTTAAATAATACATTAGTTTCCGAAATCAAACTATATGTTGCTACGGTACGTTCTTGATTTCTCCATGACAACCTTTCCGGGTTTTCTATAAAGTTTTAAAGCAAATTAGTTTTCAAAACTCAATAAGCAACTCAAATTCAATTTGTACTTTTTCGTATTTGTATTTGAGTTTTAAATTTTAGTTTTTTAATATGTTACTTAAGAGGAACGGAAATAACTGTCGTCTATTCGTTTCCTGCAAAAATCAACTTTTGCTAGAGTCGCCATCTAGAGGTAGTGCTTTTTTAGCGCTTTTGTTTTCTTAAATACCTCCTCGTTAGGTTGCGATAGGCCGTGCCTTTCAAACCGTAGACCATGCATGAATCTTACACACATATTCAAATATTTTCTGCGTACAACACGAGTTTTGACGCTTAGTGTTTGTATAGTGAATAAGCTGTAAGAAATATAGCATACAGTACAGCCGCATCGTAGGCGGCGGCGCGGTGCCAGGTAGCAGTCGGTTGAAAAAGACGTTATAGTTGTTCTGTCTGGTTTTGATAGATGGCACTTTTACTAGTTTTAACCATATAATTATGTAAGTAAGAACTTAATGTAGATTTATTTGGGTTTCATGGGTAGGGTATGCAGTATTTATTTGCATGTATGGAGTGCAAGCCACTGATATTATAAAGAAGAAAGATTTGATTGTTTGTTTGCTTCGAATAGACTCCAAAATTATTCGACCAACTTTAAAAACCCTTTCACTTACGGAAAGCATAATTCTCAAAATCTGAATCCTATATCCTTACTTTCCTTCTTATAACTCGCGGTATCTTCTGCTCATGTTTCGTACGTATAAATATTTTAATAGTCATTTTATACATTTATTCGATATTTCTCTCACTTTATGCACGACCCACAAGCACGTGCCACCAGTATCAATCAACATGTTGACTGGAAGAAATCGCTGTTCAGCGATAAGATCGCCTATTGCACAACTGTAACATTTTTTTACCTATTTATATTTTATTACGTATTTATATTTACAATAAAGTATCAAAATAAATAAATAAAAAATCCGTTGCTTTCTTCGGAATCTCTCCGGGTCCTGCAGCACTTACCAAAGGTCACAAGTTAACCGTTTTCATCCGTGTAAATTATAGTTTATGTCTCCCACGTAAGTAGGCTGTAGATACGCCGAAAAGCCTCGAAACACCCGAAACTCGTGTATGTAATATGTTTTTCAAATTCGCATTACTTTGTATTTATATTAGCCAGGAATGCTCGGCGAGACTTCTCGGCGTGAGTCTGTCCGATCTATAATCGTAACTAGTACCGTAACTAGGTAAAAGAATTTAGGTAATCAGTGAAGATTCTTTCCTACAAACAAACAAAAAAAGTTAGAATCTCAATCTTTTTATAATATTAATATAGATAATTACTAACTCATATTAAATTCTTCTACGATTTCAGCATATTTCGTTCAGATTTTTTTTAGAAATTTTAGAAATTTCGCTGCGCTCTACTACAGATAAATTTCTGAACGATCATATTTTATTAAATATTAGTGTACCGTGCGTAAAGAACTCAAAGTTGCAACTAACTAACTAACTAACTGATTAAAAATGTAACGAACAAACCTCGTAAAAATCATTAAACATTCGGACAACAGACATTAATCAAAAATACCTTTTCTATCCCCCGGTTTCTGAATTGAGAATTTGAAGCTGAGTACATCTCAAACCGTGCTTAAGCCAGTTTTAAAGTCAATTAAACAGGCTTTTATTACTGAATTATATATTTTGAAAGATCAGTTGATAGCAATTTGATAAAACTAGGACTTTTTGCCATGTGAATCCTAAAAAACTCAAGATATTGAGAATAATCAGTTCAGATTTTGTGCTTTTCTCAATTCAGCAACCGGCCGCATGTCATTTAAAAATAATAAGAGATGATTGAATGAATAAAAAGGTATATCATAATCAACTTGTACAAGCATATTTTTCAGAAACAGGGTAGGCAGATTTTTTTTTTATAGTTCTATAGACGGCAGTATAGAACACAGGTATAGAAACGTTCGACACTCTGACCAAGACACCCTAATTTAATAGTCACCATGTTTAGGGAAAATTGAGGAAAATAAAATTTATACAAAATATACTATTTACGTACGTGAAATTTAACTCTGTGACACGACGGGTGGCAGAACGAGACGCTTGATTAGAAAACAGCCGCGGCGGTTACGTGATATTATAATTATATAATTATAAGTATACGTGGCATAGGGAAAACATATTATGAAGATTAGATATAATATAAATAGACAGCCTATCCAAGTTGTATCATGTGGAAAGTCGATCAAATAAAATGATAAGGGCACATTTTGTGTTACCTTCATGTTTTGTAATAGTTTTATTCGGTACTTGCAGAGAGACTTTTCAAGTGATATCAGGTAATTATAACATATATTTGTTTTATTTCAAAGTTCATTTAGAATTATATTTCATTAAATTACAACAAGTCAGCATTAGACATTAAATGTTTTTTTTTTAAATTTCTATTATAGTTTGCCATGGCGTCCATGCGACTTGGCCGCATAGTGCTTCATTACATCTGAATTATACGGCTAAGCCAAAAGCAAGGATTGATGCTGCTTCCAGTATCCACATTTATGAGCAAAATATAAAAAATAAACCAGGTAAAAATGCTTACACATAAAATATGCAATTATATTAAATTTGATCAATTTCGCATTCACAATGCTATACTGAAAAAAATATTCTTAATGAAAAATGCTTATAAAATCTACTTGCTCCCTAAGATGGGACTTGAACCCTTGACCTTTCGCAATCCGGGTGACTGCTCTAACACTTAGCTACCCAGGACCTGTCAGGACTGACGAATTTTTAAACACTTGTTACTTTTTGCTACTAGCGAGTGTATTTTCATTAATTATCAGGCAATTCGCCGAAAGAAATATTTTTACAGATTTTTTAAACATTCGATTAAGATAAACCTCCAATCTACTCTGAATATTTGTAAAAATATAAAGACAAAACAAAAAATACAACAAAGTACATAAGTACATTTTAAAAGCAAAAGAATTAAAAACTTATTGCTTGTTACAAGAACATAAATATTGGAGATAAAAAACATTTTTATTTTACATGTACAAATTAATTTATTCACTTGACATTGGCAGAATTGTGCGCCATTAATAAAAATAGCAGAAGAAAAGCGATACTTTACCAGTCATTATACTAATTATACATGTTTCAAAATAGTCGTTTTGTTTGTCAACACGACTATTTTGAAACAATAAAAAAATATCATATTGTTATAATGTCTTTTAACAATATGTGCTAGTTTTATTTCAAATATCATTAACAATATGATATTTGAAATAAAACTAGTTTTGAACCGTTTTATCGCGTGTCATGATCATCAGCGGGCCCAGTGAAGATTGGTGGGTGTTGACAATTGTAGATGCAGCCGGGACCAAAACCTAATCATGCCTTCTAAAGTACGGAAGAACTCGAAATGATAGTTATTTGGTCACCCATCCTATGACCGACTCTTGCGAAATTTGCTTAACAGCACTTATCGCGTGTATTTTATAAAATCATTTAATTTTCAGACGCAGTTGTATGCAAATAAGAGCGCGATTGTGGGCTCACATACATTGGGCAAATAAAAAGGCACATAGGATACTTATGAAACATGTAGCTGATATCAAGTTTAGATGGAAAAAGAGATCTGCAGTGGACATGCGTTAGGAGGACCTAATCTCAAATCCTTGCAAAAAACAACCATACATTCTTAGAATTATAAGCGAGACTATCGAAATTTTAAAAAAATTGTTGAAGGAGATATACTAACAGCCTGGCATTCAATAAAGTTACAGTAAGTACTTTCTGTAAAAATACATAATGATGACTAATTTTCAAACTACTTCAGGTTTCTCAATGCGACTGTTTTTTGTTTGCGTGTTTTTAAGCGATTACGCCGTCAATTATTATGAATTAATTAACAACATTCTTTATTTATTCGACAGTTTAATGGGCCGAGGTGGTCTCATTTAAATTTTATCGAAATGGAATCAGTAGTCTTATTTTTATAATCAAACAAAATATGATTTCCATCAGATATCACCTAAATATTTTGATGTCCTGTTTATATGAGCGAAGAAAACAAGGGATTTCTATGTTCAATGGGTATTATGAATAATATCTTTTTTTGTGCATAGATTTTTTTTTATATCTTTATGTAAATAAACTCTTTGTAGATTTTGTAATATGTTTCCATAGATTTCATGGTTCTGAGATTCTAGATTCTATAGTCAGTAAAATCGTCTTACATACTTTACTTTTTGATTGTCTCGCACCCTATCCTCATATATAACTTATTGTGCATCCCCTATGGCATTAATCGCATACACAGAACATAGTATGTTCTGTGATCGCATATAATGTGGCGTCCACCTGCTTTCGACGTCCGATATACGGACGTTAAATCGGAGGATGTTTACAAAGATCGCGGTTTATTTAGGTGATACCAGTAAAGTAATAAACCATAAAAAAGTTCGGTCGTCACTTCCTTGACAATCTTGCGTTTTTAAAAATTCCTTTAGTTCTGTTACTTTTCGACACTAAAAGTAGTGGCGCTTCCGTCATTCATTATCTACTTTCATTGCTAGCCGTATGTGACGTCCAACGAAGGGCGAAATGCGACGTTGCAAACTCGTGCATACTTACTTCGAATTTGTATCCTATATAATGTTTATTCTTATTTGCGATTCCCGAATATTCGCACTCCTTCAGTTCGTATACGTTGTTGCGTTTGTTATTTTAAGTAAAATGTCTAGAAAAAACCATCGAAGTGAAAAGTTGCTCAAATTAATTCCAGGACTTGAAGGTAAGATTGCTGAATTATTTGTATAATTGACAAATTTGCATTTACAATAGTAGTAAGATTAAACTTTTAAAATTATTTCAGTATCAAAAAACAATAACATGCCTCCACCCAGTAAAAATCACAAACATGATTGTTATGACAACAAACGTACATTGGTAAGTTTTTTTACAATAAGTAGGTTATTTATGTATAACTAGGTATCTATTATTCGGTAAAATAAATAGGCGCCATTCATTTATTACGTTAGAATCTAAAAAAATAAATTAAGAAGTACGTACACGTTAAAACTACAATCATTAAAATCAACAACGCAAGCAAGTACCTACTACTTTTGTACTTATTAGGGGGAATTCCCGTGAGGCGTTGTGTGGTTAGCATAGGCGTTGCCATGGGCTAATTCTTATAAGAGTTATACGTTTTAGAATTCACTCACATTTCGTTATACGTTTGTGAATAGATTTTTATAGACTAAGCTCTGAAACTCGACCTTGGATTGGGCATTACGCGGGTGAAAACGCGGGGCTGATAGGTAGTTACTTTTAAATATTCGAGCGCACCTTAGGCACTCGCGTGATTGCTTACGCTAAAGTATAATCCCAATTTTGCGCATTTGTGATCTTTTTAGATTAAAATAATAAATAAAAATTATACATGGTCGTCTCCTCTGCGCCTCCTCCTACATATATCGTTTTACATAATAAATGAATAGCCCCATATAGCAAATTGAAAAAAGCAAATGTATTATGTAAAGTATACGGACGTTGCAACATCGTAAAAATTTTCAACTATTATTCGTTTTTGATATCCTGGACGTCTAATGAATAACAGTTTGAAACTTTTTCGACATTGTAACGTCCGTATACCTTCAAGTTAGTATGTCTAACCAGTATTTATAAAATATTGTGTTACACTACAACCAAATTCGATGAAGAATGTTTACTAACAAAGCGTTGCTTAGCAACCTGACAGGCAGATTTTAATAACCTTTCTAAAGTAGACAACATTATATTATTTTTTTTCTATTTCGAGATATGTACTACTTTATGAAATGTAGAATTCTGCAATTGAATTATATAGTAGTATTTTGAAAATGACCTAATCTTTGTAATTTAATGTGCAGTGTCTTAACATTACAAGGAATATATCATGTGTAAACAAAAATTTATTTATAAATGTACTAATACTTCATAAACTTGGGATTTGTAAATAATGCAATTAATTTCCAATGTTTATAAATGCTGCAGACACATTATTATAGGAAATAAAAAACTTATTGCAGTTTTGAACATTAGAAAGGAACACCGAACTTGCACACGGGGTCGGATTACATTATGCGATCGATTTAAAATGTAGTTATTCTAAATGAACATGTTTTATAATAATTGACAACTTTATTTGGAAAGTTAGTTTCTAATTTCTTTATTCTATAAGTTACAGGGCTGTCAAATAAAAATAATTTCAGCTTTATTACTATTTTTCATATTTTTTGTCAAAATATTGAAATTTTATGGTGTTTCTGGTAATTTATAGCAGTAAAAAATGTGCGAAATTCGAGATTTATATATTTTTTGTCATGTAAGTTGTGACGACCCTAATTTGATTTGTTAAATTTATTCTTCATCGAATTAGGCTGGAGTATAGTTTATAATTTAAGGTAGAGTTCGGCAACTAATTCTTAGCGGGGTCAAAATATAATATTTTTTTTATCGAGTATGTCAGTTTAATTAAAAAAAAACCGGCCAAGTGTGGGTCGGACTCGCACACGGAAGGTTCGTACAGGAAATTAGCAAAATGTTCACGTTTTTGTATGGGAACCCCCTTAAATATTTATTTTAATTTAATTATTTATTTTTGAAATTACTATAAAATACATACATATTCTGTGAATATTTCAAGCATGTCAATTATCAATTTCGAGCAAAAGGAAGCAAAAAAACACGTTTTCAGTATGAAAGCCCCTTTTAAATGTATATAATTCTAGTTTTTAGTATTTGGTGTAGTAGCGGCGACAGAAATACACTATCTGTGAAAATTTCAACTGTCTAGTTATCAAGGTTCATGAGAGATAGCCTGGTGACAGACAGACAAACGGATAGATAGACAAACGGACAGCGAAGTCTCAGTAATAGGGTACCCTTTGGGTACGGAAAAAAATAATTTAACAATATTTGGTGGACCGAGGTTCAAATTTCCGCGATCCAAATAATGATAACTTAATAAAGTACTACCTACCTTCTACTACAGGGCCACTAAAAACTTCTTGCTTATTTTTTGGTCCCAGACTTTTGCATAAAGTCAATGTTATTTGAACTTTGATTTGACATTTTGCTAATCGAATTTATTCGAGGTTCCTATGTAAGGAGTGAATTAGTCTGACTCACACATGGCTATTGTTGACTTATTATGAGAGTAAATTCTAGGATAACTTACATCATATGTATACCCAAATGGTAGATACTTTTATTTCACAGAGGCCGAGATATAATCCGCCCTCAATATCCATACCTAATACCAGTAGTGACGATTCATTTATGGATACTCCTGGCAATGAGAAGAACAGAGATGAAACTTATGTTCCAGTTACAGATGACGATACTACGGACAGTTTATATCTAAACGACGACTTGTCGGCTTCTTTGAATAATATGTCTAATTGCACCCGAGATTTGACTTCTGGAAGTATTTCATTGGAACTGAACACCGATGAAATACATTTGATAGACCAAGTTGTTAGTAATGTCACCATTGGAGATACCGAACATATTCTTGTTGAAAATAGTGACAATTCAATAATCGAAAATTCTGACACCAACAATATTTTAGAGTTATCTAATTACCACATAGATTGTATATTCCAGCAATAGAAAGTAAAGAATCATATATTACAAAAAATTATACCGTTACTAGTCAATCAATGTCAGACTATTGATGCTTTAAATAAATTGGAGCAGTCTCAGTACCATGAAAATGTATTGGTTCCAACAATTGAAAGTGTAGACCCGTATGTAAGCAAAAATCATACCGTAACAAGTCAGTCTTCATCGCCAGGTCAGAGCTCTAATCCTTCGATACGAGACCTAGTACCCACAACGTCGACATATACAGCTGATAATGATAGTCCCAGTTCTTATGACAGCCATCACTCAGACTACTTAGAAATTGATAATAGTGACCAAGATGAAACATACCATCCTGCATCTACTCCAACGTATTCCGACTCTTCTAATGACGCTAGTTTTAAAGAAGTAGCAGGAGATAGCTTGATAAATACTAAGGGTATATCACCTATAAGATGTTTAAGAGGAGACAAAAAAATATATGTGGTAAGTTTTGCACCACAATAATAAATAATTTCGACGTATAAGGAACAATAGCGCGAAAGTAATTTAAGTCAAATTTTTACGAAAAGGTAATAATTATAGGTATTGATTTCTTATACAACGTGTCCCAAAATTCAACGATGAGCGGGCGCCAAGAGGTAGACCTGCTCATGTGTACTTATGGAAAAATAAGGAAAAAATTATATCTTATTAATCTTTTTTATTATAAAATAAAATTCGAAAATCTTCGAAAATTTACACCTTTTATGATATTTTCAACTACCACGACCACAACTTCTCAATTATGTTCAATCTTTTTTTGGTATCGGATACCTAAGTAGCACTACTATTCGCTACAACTCTTAAAAACACCAAAATGCCCGCAGTTTTTACACAAAAAACAATGAAAATGTATTTTTTCCTTAAATTTTCAAAGATTTTTACGTTTCGTAATCTTTGACTTACGGTCTTGTAAAAAAAAAGTATGGACACCACTGTGGCAAGTTGTTTTTAAAATTGACTGAACTCATCAAGATTCCAAAATGGTATAATAATCTAAGATAACTAGTCACAGTAAAAAAATATGCACACCATTTGTAAACCAAGAGTATTCCGGGCGTTGGATTGGGCGACTTGGTCCTATCTTATGGCCACCCCGATCACCCGACCTAAACCCCCTGGACTTTTTCTATTGGGGTTGTCTCAAAGACAAAATCTATGAAAAACCCATTACGACATTGGACGAGCTTCGGCAAAAAATTAGTCAGGCTGCGTCACATATCAATGCTAAAAGGTATGCACGAAAAATAAAACGCTCTTTTTAAGGCATGTATTAATGCCGATGGAAAACAATTTGAACATTTACTGTAATGTTAATTATTAATAAATGAATGAGACTAAAACTCACTATTGTTTTATTTCAATATTATTTTAAAATATTAAAACATTTTGGAACAGTACAATTTATTACTCACAACTTTGGTTCTTGATTCTAAATGGTATGATTTTTAGTTTGTTATCATGTTATCATGTTATCTAGTTATCATGAAGTATTATACCATTATGGAATCTTCATGAGCTGCGTCAATTTTAAAAACAACTTGCCGCAGTAGTGTCCATACTTTTTTTCTACATGACTGTGAGTCAAAGATTACGGAACGTAAAAATCTGTGAAAATTTAAGGAAAAGAATACATTTTGATTGTTTTTTGTGTAAATACTGTGGGCATTTTGGTGTTTTTAACAGTTGTAGCGAATATTAGTACTACTTAGGTATCCGATACCAAAAAAAGATTGAACATAATTGAGAAGTTGTGGTCGTGGTAGTTGAAAATATCATAAAAGGTGTAAATTTTCGAATTTTATTTTATAATAAAAAAGATTAATAAGATATAATTTTTTTCTTATTTTTCCATAAGTACACATGAGCAGGTCTACCTCTTGGCGCCCACTTATCGTTGAATTTTGGGACACGTTGTATTTTCACGCGCACTATCCATAAATTTCTACAGGTTCCGTGTTCTGTAAAGGGTCCGAAACGTTTAAAACTAAATACGAATGCGATGGAACTGTTTAAAAGTTGTTTCATTTATTAATAATTATATGTATTAGATTTTTTGCCGGGTAAGGGTTAATTCACACCACGACGCGACGAGACGCGACGTTGAGTCAACTGACCTTAATTGGACTTACGCGCCTACTTAAGCGACACTATAATAGTTTTGTATCTTAATAGAGTTAACGAATATAGAATAAACAAAAAAAATAAACAATAATATCTGAAATAACAACTGCCAAAAACGGAAAAGTAGTATAACAAGATGTATTCGTATAAACAAAACGTATATTCTCATTGCAGTTTTCTACTACTTCGTGTCACGCAGTCGTGTTTTTAACTATTAAAGTTATTGATTTTTATTTTTTTAGTTACCAAATTGACTAAATTAAATATTATGGAATAGATAGATGGTAAAAAGTTAGGTAAAAATGGTAAATTAGGGAGAATAGAATACTATGATTGAATTTCCTTTTTTTTTTGATATTAAAAAATATTTATTTGTTTTTAGGAACCCATGAGTAGTGCTGATTATACGGAAGTAAAAAGTTCCAATGAATTAGGAAAAAAGAAAAAAAGAACAAGAACCAAAGATTATTGCTTTTATTGTGAAACTGATGTTTTAAATTTTGCGAGGCATATTGCACGGAATCACACCATGGAATGCGAGGTACAAAAAATCCTATCATACCCCAAGAAAAGTTATACTCGAAAAAATTTATTGACTAACTTACGTAAAAAAGGCAACTATATAAAAAACGTGACAAAATGTTGTAAACCTATGAAAAAAAAGCAGCATTTATCCGGATATTGACTACTTGCCATGTGAAAAATGTTTGGGTTTTTACTCGAGAAAACAACTGTGGAAACACAAAAAAAGATGTCAACCATTAACTGAAACTGCTAATACCCAAGTTGATGCTCAAAATTTTATGTTGCGGCATTTGAAAGTAGATAAAAAACTTAGAGAAGATGTATTTCCCAAAATGAGACCAGATAAAATATCTCCAGAGGCTAAAATAGACCCACTGATTTGTGCATTCGGTGCTCAATATCTGAGGATACACCATGAAAAACATTTTATCAATGTAACATCTAGAAAAATGAGAGAATTGTCAAATTTAATAGAATTAAAAAAGCTCAAACCGTCTATTAAGGATTTAATGGATTCATTGAAACCGCAAAACTACGATGTTATATCCGGTTGCAATAATCAAACAGATCGCTATGGTGCTCCCACATATGCAATGAATATTAGCACAAGCCTAAAACAGTGTTGTAATATTGCAATAATGGCGACTTTGAAATCTGATAGCGGTGTAAAAACTGCTGTCATTGAGGCTGATCTCAAGACACTCATACATCTGATTGAGTCAAATTGGAAGTTTGACGTTTCCAGTCAAGCGAGTAATGACTTAAATTTTAAAAAATGGAACAAAATCACAATTGTTCCACTTGCGAGTGACTTGAAAATGCTAAAGCAATATATCTGCGAGAAAGCTAAATCAGCAGCCTCCAAATTAGTAGAGAGCGAAAACAGTAACATTTAAGCATATGTTACTTTAGCGGAGACAATTTACTGTCGCATACTTTTATTAAATAGGCGTCGACCTGGAGAACTGCAGCGTCTTCTCCTTAGCACATACCAAGAGTGCCATAATAATAGTAATGCCTATGAAGAATTTGGTAGAGCTATTTCAGATGCTGAAAAAATGCTAATTAAATCTTTTAAGCGTATAGTTATAAGGGGTAAAAGGGGCCGAGGTGTGCCGGCTCTACTGACTGACGAAGTGCAAGCCGACATTGACTTACTTATATCTATCAGACAGAAATATATTAGTAATAAAAACCAGTTCCTATTTGCAAAGCCTGGGTCGGAAAACACATTATGTGGGTATAAAGTATTGGAGAAGTATGCTAATGCTAGTGGAGCTAAAAATCCTACAGCAATAACCACTACCAAGTTACGGAAACATTTGGCAACGCTTACGCAAATGTTTAATATGAAAGAAACCGATATTGAACAATTGGCTAATTTTATGGGTCATACTCAGGCTGTGCATAGGCAAAACTATAGATTGCCTGATGATGTGTATCAGACAGCTAAATTATCCAAACTCTTGCTGCTAATGGAAAGTGGTGACGCTGATTATTATAAAGGCAAATCTTTGGATGATATTGATTTAGATTTAGAACAAGATTTTTTACAAGATACGCATGAAGACATCGATCAAAATGATGAAATAATGGAATACGAAGCTGTAATGCCTACAGAAAACCTAAACGAGCCGATTATTGACGCCAATGTGCATGACAGTACATTAAAGACACCTCAGCTTTGTGAGATTACGAATTCTACTGAAAATAAAACTAAGAAGAAACGAAACCTGGTTCCTTGGACAGCACAACAAAAAAATATTGTTACAAAGTTTTTTAGCAAACACATAAAAAGTCAAGTACCACCAAAACGCCATGAATGTGAAGAACTGCGTGATCTATATCCTGACATTATGCACAACAAAGATTGGTTGAAAACTAAAGTTTTCGTACAAAATGCCTACACAAAAGGAAAGAAATAGACGTGTCCATATCTTTAATCGATCAAGTAGGTAGCTACTGCTTAATCTTTTAGAGCTTTGTGTTATTTATAGTTTTCTGAAGTAACTACTGTTTACTTTACGACTATATAACAGATATCATTCTATTTCTTTTGACATTTTGTAAGCAATACAGTTACAGTTTTGTTATTTCTGAAATTGTAATCAGCTCTGAAAGTTTATTAAACATTACAAGAAAAATTGTATTTTAAAAATCTACAACACGAGTTATGAAGAGTACTGAAAATACGTTTGTAATTACAATAAAATTAGTAGGTATAGAGAACAATCAGTGATGTTGCATTTGCAAAACTTCGCGCAGCTTGGCGGCGATCGAGAAGCGGAGGGTGAGGGGCAGTGAACTTATTGCATCACCTTTTTCGTTCTTTAAGTCGCGCGCGCAGTGAAGTGACCGTGATAGGATAATCGCCCGCCGATCGCCGCCATTACGCTTCCTAATCGTGTTTTATTGTTTTAAAATTGAATTGGACGAAGATGTCAGAAACTTACTTATTGCTTGAGGTCTCAGCGGTTATGTAGATGTGTTCTCTGGTAAGTTTCATTTATTTAATATGCACTCATCATAAATGATATATGCCTGACTTTTTAGATTACATACATAGGTACTTATAATCACGCCCATATATCGGGGCAAGCAGAGCCTTACGGTGCAATTCACAAAAGTAGCCACGTCTGACGAGGGGGCTAGGTGTTTTTATTGTGTTACTGAGTAGTGATGTGACAAGTGCTCATCAGCCCGTCGCCTCAATAGAGTACTTTAAAATGTCCTTTCCCTTCAGTCTGATACTCTGATTTTGGATCTTGCACGCGAATGATGGCAGCTGTTTTTCTTTTTCTCCCAGAGCTGCGTATGAGTACATAACTTTGTAGATATACAAAATGTTATGTTGTGAGATGTAAATCCTTACCTCTTTTTTAGATATTAGGTACCGGGCTGACTGATCTATCTATTTTTTTATTATTATGTAGTATTTTTAATTTCAGAAAACCACATTATGATGGACTGCTTAACGCTGTTGGACTCGCATATTATTAAGGAGCTCATACCACCAATTGGACATAGAGAAAATTTTATTAAAAATTTTAACAATTGGAAGACCTTGATGGATTCTGAGAACGACAATCAATCACAAGTAAGAATTTGATTTACATACTTTTAATTATATTATTCAATAGTTTTTTCCCGCAACTTCGTCGGCGTGGTTTCCGTAGCCTATGTGTTGACCCAACCTCTTAGTAATATACATGCAAAATTTTAAGTAATTCCATACAGTGAGGCGAAACAACCATATTTTCATTTTAAAATCTAGAATTTTTTTTGGACTACATTTAAAGGCGTTTATTTTACTCTTATCAAAATAAATTATTTCATCACTAAGTACAGTTTATGTAGATATTATTTGGTCTTTGAATGATTAAAAATAGACCTTTGGTTTTTAAGCTATGGCGAAATTAAAATATTATGTTTTCTGCTGCACGGGCCGTTGCGAAGTGGGCGTCAACAAGTGGGGTGTGCGCGTGCGGAAGGGGGGGGGGAGTTTAGATATATGAGTAAGGTACCCGCGGGGTGTTGGGGGGTTGAGTACGCTCTGGTATGCGGCGCTGAGCTATAGACTCTTCCCTCAAGTCCATCATACACGTCCGCGTTGTACACCCTGGAAATGCTTTGGGATCGCAACGGGCGCCGCATACTTACCATCTACCCCGGACCCCAAAGCAGCCAAGTATGGGGACGATGCCTGCAATGGCAGTCCCACCTTGCAGGCAGTCCTGAACCCTCAATCCCGTCAAAATTTCCAACAATCCCATCCCTCCCATTCCCCTCCTAACCTTTCCTTCTATCCTATCACAAAACTTTCCTGGAGGAGACAACCTCGACTCCAAAAACCCCAATCCAAGGTGTCAATCGTACCGTGCCGAGGGATGAATGGCTGAGGGTATCAGTCTTGAACGGTGTCTCTCCGAAACCAGGGTGAATCGGAGTAGTAAATAACCCTTCGGGCGACATGCGGGGCTCTGTCGTTCGTGACCTTTTATTTCCCTAGCTACTCGTGGGTACAATATGGAGAAGGATCAAAAAAAAACAATTAGCCTAAACCCTATGTCTTCCGTTCTGGAATCCATCCAGGACGGAATAAACCGTGATGAGGCGAAGAGGACTGCAAAGGACTCTGGAACGCCCATCAGTCTATCCCCTACAACGGAGGTGGAAGTCGTGGTCGAAGGAGGCAACTCTGGATCGCTCGACGCCCCATCCGAAATAGAGGATACGAGCCAAGGCAGTCAGCGTAAGCGACTGTCTGGAGCAGCACGGAAGCGTCTCCGGAAGCTAGTGGCAGAAGCAGGGGTAGCCACAGAGCAAGCCCTTGTGTTATGCCGCAAGCCATGGAAAGACATTCCGATACCGAAGCCGGCCTCTGTGAAGACCCTCAAGAGGGACAGATCAGAGGAAGACTCTCCTAAGGCGCACATCAGTAAAGTCGCCAAGTTAAGCCCTACAGCCACAGGCGGCCCAAAGCCCCTTAGCTATAGGGAGATGGCGGAGACCACCAGAGTGGGGATCCGGAATTCGGAACCCATGACGGAAGCCCAGATGGCGCTCGTACATCGTCACCTCATCGTGGCCATAACAAAAATGGACGCGGAGGGCGATGGACCTGAATTTGTCGGTTTCAGTCACAGGACAGGATGGATACTGGTTACCTGCGCGAACCAGCATAGCCATGACTGGCCTGTGGCTGTAATACCAAAAATGAAGCCATGGCCTGAAGCTCAGTTGACCACTATGTCGGAAAGCGAGCTTCCAAGGCCGTCTACGGCAACGACTTTTGTACCCAAGACGGAGGCTGCCTCAGTTACTGAGGCATTAGCCCTGTTGAGGGTACAAAATAAAGGCATTAATCCTGGACTCTGGAGGGTCCTAAACGAGAAGGAGAAAGAAGGAGGAAGGCTTGTCACCTTCTCCATCGACGAACCTTCCGTTGAAGCCCTCAAAGAGAAGGATTACTGGGTGACCCTCGGATTTAAGAGGGTTTACTTCAAGATCAAGGGCGACCATCAGGCCCCTCAGCATCTACAGTCTTCCTCCGAACCTCCTCCTGCCGCCGAACCAACGCCGTCGACCAGCGGCACACAGAAACCCCAGGGCTCACAACCTCGGGGTGGAAGAGCGCCGGTGGTCGTGGGCGGGGGCCGGCGAGGGAAGGGTAAGGGTGCAGCTGGAGTAGCAAAACCCCAAAACCCGAACGCTAAAGCGCGACCAACGCCTCTAGCGGGAGGATCACGGGGTGCCGCGAAAGCTGCCAAACGGGGGAAATAAAAATGGCCAACCAGGGGGCTCGGGCAAGGATTCTGCAAGCAAACCTCCAACACACCGCTGCTGCATCCGCAGTAGTGGAACAGTGCTTTGCAGAACGAAAGGTCGACCTTGCCCTGATTCAAGAACCCTGGGTGCATAACTCAACATACTGGGACTCAAAGCCGCTGGTAAGGTGCTTTATAACATTCATGGCTTGAAACCCAGGGCGTGTATTGTTTTTAGCAAAAACACTAACTATTTGCCTGTTACAGAGTTGTGCACAGATGACCTTGTAGCAGCATTTGTCAATCTCAAGGGATGGCACGGGCCCAGAGTGCTCGTGTGCTCGGCCTACCTGCCCGGAGATAAAGCTGACCCAACTGCTGAGCTCACACCCGTGGTCGACTACGCCCGGAGACATCGTGCTGAGCTGCTTGTGGGGTGCGATGCGAACGCCCACCACACCGACTGGGGAAGTACTAATATTAATGACAGAGGTGAGTTATTAAACAATTACCTAGTAACCAATTGTCTTCAAACTTTAAACAATGGCTGTGAACCAACTTTTGTAACTAGGACGAGACAAGAAGTGCTAGATATTTCTTTCGCCACTAACAACCTGGCCAGGCATGTAGAAAACTGGAGAGTTAGTAACGAAAACTCAGTGTCGGACCATAGGCATATATGCTTAGAACTAACATCGGAACTAAGTACACATACTAGTGCATTTACGGATCCTAAGCGCACCGATTGGGATGAATACAACAAACGCTTTGTACGGAACTTAGAAGTAATTTCTGAATGCATTAGAACGGTTGAGAGCATTGAATTTGCGGTAGAGGCGGTCTCTAATGGCATTAAAGATGCCTTCGAGGCTAGCTGTACACCCAAAATCAAATCATCCAAACGGAAAGTACCGTGGTGGAACTCAAAGCTGAAAAAGCTTAGGGAGAAAACTCGAAAGTTATTCAATAGGGCCAAAATCACCCATGAATGGGATGCCTACAGGATGGCCCTAAACGAATACAGTAAACAAATTAGAAAAGCCAAGCGTGCATCATGGAGGAAGTTCTGCGAGGAGATAACTAATACGCCTCAAGGAGCAAGACTTCATAAGATCATGGCAAAGGCACACTGTAATCCCTTAGGTCTCCTTAAAAGACCGAACGGGTCCTTCACGACTAACGAGAAGGAAACCTTGCAGCTAATGGCTATCACCCATTTTCCAGGATCTACTGATAATGCAGTAGCGATCACTCTTCGAAGGCCTCTACCAGAGGACTGGAGAAGAGCCGCTCTCGTTATTAGGCCTGGAATAGTGAAATGGGCCATTAACTCGTTCAAACCTTTTAAATCTGGTGGAATTGACGGCGTAGCCCCGGTGCTTTTACAGCGGGGTGCCGCCAATCTCATCCCTTATCTGGTAAAAATCTTCAGAGCCAGTTTGGCCTGGGGATATATTCCAGATCCGTGGACTAAGGTGAAAGTCGTGTTCATACCTAAAGCTGGAAAGAAGGACTATACATCACCAAAGTCCTTCAGGCCAATCAGCCTTACGTCATTTCTTCTGAAGACCATGGAGAAGGTATTAGACAATTATATCAGACAAGGGAGTCTCATCAATAAACCCATACATGATACCCAGCACGCCTACCGAAGCGGC